TTTCTTCTTCTTCTTCTTCCTCTTCCTCTTCTTCTTCTTCTTCTTCTTCTTTTTCTTCTTACCCCTCCTCTTCTTCCTCTTTTTCCTCTTCTTCTTCCTCTTCCTCCTCCTTTTCCTCTTCTTCTTCTTCGCCGCTAATGCCTTTACGTAATGGGATCCATTGCCATTTGATGTTTTGTCCGTCCGTTTGCACATAATGCTTATATTTTCCGCCTGAGATCCAGTTGCGGCGGAAGTTTCATTATTTTGGTGTACAAAAAGGGGAGTCTTATCTCTGGTATCAGAGTCGACGAGAGTGCGCACTTGAAGTCAATTAATGTTGGGTGTAAAATGGGATGATAAGTGATAACATAAATATCAAAGAATGACATAAGGTTTAATCTTGTTCTTGACTCCGTTGTGGTGGTTATTGTTATTACTTTTTTTTTGCATTATGGATATTATTATTATTATTATTATTATTATTATTATTACTATTTTATTATTAGTGTTATCATTGTTGCCTTTCTTATCATCATCCTCGTAAAGGGGGGGAGGGGGTAAGAAGGAAAATAGGAGGGAATGGGGAAAGGGAGGGGGTGATGGAAGTTTAAAGAGAAAATAGAGATGAAGAGGGGAGGAGGATAGAGAAAAAGAAAATGGGAAAAGGGAAAGAGAGGAGGAAGGGGGAGGGGACTTGGAGAAAAAGGAGGGGGGGGGGTAGTAAGTGGGAAGGGGACATGGGGACGAAGGAGGTGGGAGGGAGGAAGAGGTGGAAAAGGAGGGGGGGGGGAGGGGACAGATATACAGTTTAAAGCGGGAGGGAAGAGTGAATTTAAGAAAAAAATTGAGAGAGACGGGGTGGCAGAAAGAGAGAGGGAGTGGAAGAGAAAGAGGGAAAGAGGGAAAGGGAAAAGGAGAGGTAGAGGGAGAGGAGTGACCTCTTGGGGGCAACTGCACAGCTACAGTCAAAACCCTTGTTCGAATTCCGTCTCGAACCCCCAAATGATATTCCCTTCATTGCCTCGGTCAGAAGGGCTTCAAAGCTTCATTCAGAACGCGACTTTTGTTCGTGACTGTTTAATGATCTCGGTGTCTTCGAGTCTTGTTTCCCAACCTATATATATTTTTTTCTATATTCGGAGGCAATTTGGTATTTAAATAAAATAAATAAAAAATCTATCTTCATTGCTATAGTGATGCTAATCTATCAGTCCAATTTTCCCCACGCGAATTGTACAATTTGTTGGTGCTTTATGGCTACACTTTAGATAAGATTGCCACCTGATGGAAGTATAAAGTTGCTTTAAACGTCCTGCAAAGAAGTGCTAGTCTACGGTAGATGATTTTTCAACTACTGTGGCCCTGTTACTTTAACAATCATGGTTTTGTTTTCTTGAACTCGTGACGGCTTTCTCTTCGGTTAATTCAATGATATGTCAACTGTTGTATTTATTCAATTGGGTGCAATTAAGTTTAATTACATGGCTCTTATCTAATTCAATCTACTGAATCCTATGATACTGATATCTATTATCTCATTTAATCCAATTCAATCTTGTTACAACGATCTCTATTATTTTATTCAGTCCAATCCAACCCTCTTATTCAAGGTAATCTAATCCCATTATATCTCTCTCATCCTCTTGCAGATGGCGACGCCCACGGAGGAGGAGGAGGAGGAGGATCCGCGAGCACGCCTCAGCCATTGTACCTGACTCCTCACGCCCATTCCCACGCCCACCCCTACGCCCGCGGTGGCCCCCCGGACTCCCCCTGGCCGGATACGCCACGCCCAAACGAGGCTTTGAACAACGTCCTTTATCACCAGCCGCGTTTCGCTCACCCAAGTCACCCGCCGCTTCCTTCTCATCACTTTCCGGTCGACACCTCCTTCTCTCCTCTTCTTCCTCCTCCTCATCATCATCATCATCACCAGCATCTTGAAATGGCTCGCGGAGGGATGGTGATGAGTCCGGTCAATTCCACGGATCAGTTTGGCCCTCGACATCACCCTCATCACCACGTGGCCTTTGATCATGACGCCGCTGGGGTCCATGTCGCGTCGGGGAGTCATCACCACTCTCTCCCGAATAGCGTTCAGGGCAGTCATCACCCTCTGACGAATAGTGTTCAGGGCAGTCATCACCCTGTCCCGAATAGCGTTCAGGGCAGTCATCACCCTCCCCAAAATAGCGTTCAGGGCAGTCATCACCCTGTCCCGAATAGCGTTCAGGGCAGTCATCACCCTCTGACGAATAGCGTTCAGGGCAGTCATCACCCTCTGACGAATAGCGTTCAGGGCAGTCATCACCCTGTCCCGAATAGCGTTCAGGGCAGTCATCACCCTGTCCCGAATAGCGTTCAGGGCAGTCATCACCCTGTCCCAAATAACGTTCCGGGGAGTCATTATATCTCAGGTGATGACGCGGTGGCTAGTTATCACAGGCCGCGTTATGTGCCGGGGTACCAGGGGCAGAGTGATGACTTAGCTGGTTACCACAGCCCGGGTCATGAGGTAATGGCTAATCACCAGATGCCTTCTGTAGACGTGATTGGGCATTTCCCTAACGGGCTTGGTGATGCTGCATCCAGTCACCACAGGACGTCAGATAGTGTTGTAGGTAGTGATTGGAATCCACGCGGTTTTGTGATAACCAGTCAGCACAATTCACACGATGAAATCATACCCAGTCGATGTAGTCCACACGATGAAGTTGCAGCCATTCAACAAAATTCGCCGTATGAAATCTCAGCCAATCACCACAGCCCGTCTGATAACGTCTTAGCCAATCAGCACAGCCCGTCTGATAACGTCTCAGTCAGTCAGTACAGTTCAGAATATGAAACAGTCAGTCAGCACAATCCACCTCCTGAAACAACCAATCAACACAGCCCATCTGATGAAACTCCAGCCAATCAGCACAGCCCATCGGATGAATTCTCAGCCAATCATCATAATCCGTCTGAAGCAGTCTCAGACAGTCAGTACAGTTCAGTATTTGAAACCGCCAGGCAGCACAATGCACCTGATGAAACCCCCAATCAGAACAGTCTACCCGATGACTCTCCAGCCAGTCAACACATTCCAACCCATGAAATGCCAGCCAATCAACACACTCCATCCGCCGACACTCCAGCCAATCAGCGCAGTCCATCCCACGAAATTCCATCCAATAACGTCACTCCTTCCGACGAACCAACCAATCAAGACGAAGCCAGCGATGACGTCACGCAAACACCCCCACGACGAGACACAAAATCGCCGGAAACTGACCCTTTGAAGAGTGAAACTGACCTCAATCAAGGTCAAGGCGAGAATTCGGGGGAAGACAGTGAGAAAATTCAAGAGAAGCCTTTCGCGTTCAGCCATTACCTGTACAATTATCTAAGATCCGTGAAGAACATTCCCCCGTGTGAGAGTGAGTAGGCCTTTACCAAATCGAAAAAAAAGAAATGTGATAGTAGTGAGGCGGGAAGTTAGTGCTGTTGTTATCGAGATTAGAGTTCGAATTACGATGCAGCGGTATTTCTGTCGCTGCTGCATTTATTTTTTAATTCTGCTGTTACTACTACTGCTGTTGTCACTGCTGCTGCTACTACTACTACTATTACTGTTACTATTACTTCTACTACTATTACTACTACTTTTACTACTTCTACTTCTGCTATTGCTACTTTTATTGTTCTTCTACAGCTATTATTACTATTATTATTGTTAATACTACTATTGCTATTATTATTGTGGTTGCCATCTTCATCACCAACAATATAATCATTATCATTGACATAATTCTATCCTCCTCCTCCTCCTCATCATCATCATCATCTTCTTCCTCCTACCACTCCTCCTTCCAGTCCTCCTTTTATACCTCCACCACCACTACCTCCTTCCCCTCCTTCTCCTCCTCCTCTTCCTCCTCCTCCTCCTCTTCCTCCTTTTCCTCCTCCTCCTTTTCCTCCTCCTCCTCCTCCTCCTCCTCCTCTAGTCCCCATCCTCCTCACCCCTCTTCCTCCTCCTCCTCTTCCAATCCCCATCCTCCTCCTACTCACCCTTCTCCTCTTCCTCTTTCTTCTCCTTTCTCCTCCTTCCTCTTCTTCCTCCTCCTCTGCTCACCATTTCCTCCTTTCCTCCTCCTCTTCTTCCTCCTCCTCCTCCTCCTCCTCCACCACCTTCCCATCCTCCCTTCCTCCTCTCCTCCCCCTTCCCCTCCACCTTCCCATCCCCATCTTTATCTTCCCTCCCTCCCCCCTTCCCCCCATCCTCCTCCCCTCTTCCTCCTCCGCCAATTTCTCGAGTAGCTGATACAAACCGACGCCCTCCAACTTCCTTACCCCTCCCCCCCTCTTCCTCCTCTCCCCCTCCTCCTCCCCTCTCCCCCTCCTCCTTCCTCTCCCCCCTCCTCCTCTCCTCTCCCCCCTCCTCCTCCCTCTCCCCCCTCTTCCTCCCTCTTCGTCCTCTTCCCCCCTCTTCCTCCCTTCCCCCTTCCTCCCTTCCTCCCTTCCCCGCTCCCCTCCTTCCTCCCTTCCCTCCTTCCTCCCTTCCTCCTCCTCTCCCCCCCTCCTCCTCCTCTCCCCCCCTCTTCCTCTCCATCTAGTTCCATTGTGTTTATATAACGACCCGAGGAGATTGTCCTCGATAATTCGTATGCATTTCAGGGCAAATCACCAGCAGGAAGACGCTGGAAATTAGGGGTTGATGAAGAAAAAGGGGGGGGGGGGAGGGGGGGAGGAGAGGTGGGGGGGAGGAGAGGGAGGAGAGGGAGGGAGGGAGGATGGAAGGAGAAGGGGGAATGAGAGAGAGACAGGCAGGCAGGCAGACAGACAGATACAGACAAAGATGTAGATAGAAGAGTAGAGAAAGAGAGAGAGAGAGAAAAAAAGAAAAAGATGGAGAGAAAGAGCGATAGAGAGAAAAACGTACTTAATTCCCCTCTTTCTTGCATTTGACGTTTAGCACAATATTTTTTTTCTGACCATTAACCATCCCGTCTCGTTTTTTTTTTCTTTTTCTTTTTTTTCAAGGTCAAGTTAGACTTTTTTCTGTGCGTATGTGAGCTCTTGTGTGTGTGTGTGTTTTATGTTATTTTTTCCCCCCCATTCGTTTCTTTTCTCGTATGTGATAGAGAGAGAAAAAACTTTTTCCTATTTTTTATTGTTTCCTTGTTTCTTGGTTTTCTTTTTTATTGTTCTTTTGATTTTTTTTCCTTTGTGGTTCTTTCATTTCTCTCTTTGGTCTCTCTTAATCACGCTCTTCCTTTTTTTCTGTTTCTCTCTCTCCTTTTTCTCCCATATTTTCTATTTCCTATTTGTCTCACATTTTCTCTTCGCTTTCTCCCCCTTTTTTCTCTGTTCTCTCTAATTCTCTGTATTTCTTCTTTCATTTTCTCTACTCTGTTTTCTATCCCATATTCTCTCTTATTTTTCTCTTGTCCCCTTTTCTTCATTCTCTCTCAATTCCTCTCTTTTCTCTGTTGTTTTTACTTGCATCCTTTTCTCTCTCATCCCATTCTTTCTTATATTTTCTTCTCTCCGCCATCTCCTTTCCGCAATTTCTCTCATTTCCCTTTCACTCTCATTCTCTCTCCCACTTTCCTCGTCTCACCTCCTCCCTCCCTCTCTCTCCTCTCTCTCTCTCCTCTCTCTCTCTCCCTCTCCCTCTCCCTCTATCCCCCTCCCCCTCCCTCTATCCCCCTCCCCCTCCCCATCCCCCTCTCCCTCCCTCCCCTCCCCTCTCTCCCTCTATCTATCAATCTATCTATCTATTTCCCCTCATTTCACTCCCCGGCTTCGATTCAGCTAATGCATCGGTCTTATCCCTCCTTGAGTATTGGCGAAGGGGGGGGGGGGGGGCATGCTTATTGATAGTCTGGTTAAATTGCTTGTTGATGAAGTGAAGAGACATGTCGTGGGTTTGGTTAATGCATTGATGGGATCTTTTGTGTGTTTGTGTGTGTGTGTGTTTTGTTTCTATATCTCTTTCTTCCTCTGTTTGTTAGTCTCTTTGTTTTCTCTTCATTCCCTCTTTCTCTTCCTCTGTCTGTCTCTCTTTCTTCTCTCTCTCTCTCACTTGTCCTTTCTTTTATCTTTCTATCTTCACTCTTTCTTTCCCTCTCCCTCTCTCTCTCTCTCTCTCTCTCTCTCTCTCTCTCTCTCTCTCTCTCTCTCTCTCTCTCATCTCGTTTTTCATGTATTTTTGTCATTTCAAACTGATTTAAACTTTTTCATTTCAAACCACGACCTGTACCCTCTTTTATTTTTAATTTCACTCCCTTTATCATATCCCTATTCATTCTTTTATTTAGGGCATTAGCACGAAAGGCGAACATTTCAGGATCTGTCCAGAAAAGTGTCCTGAACAATGTATTAAAAGTCACAGATATCCTTTGTGTACTTCGGGCAAAATTCAAGATGGCGTCTAAAATGGCTGCCAGTTTGGGATATTCTCGTTTTGCGTGTTTACGTGACGGCAGTGCAAAGAAGGTATCAATTCCCTTGTTTTGTTTTGTTTTTCAGGATTATGTTTTAACTCAATGCCGCCGGGGAAAATGAATAAAAAATTGGGAAAACGCTGTGCTCATTTTTTATCATTTTTTTGTGAAATGTCTCTGCACATAGATGGCTCTGCTAGTGCTTAGCCACAAAGGAGTCAATTAGTAGAACTTGTGACCTTGTTTGATTTGAATTGGCGGGAAAAATGTATTTTTTTACTAGTGCTATGAATATCGATGGTGTTATTTTTATTATAAACATTATGATTACTATAATGTTATAAACATTAGTAACAGCAAAATAAGATAACGTAAAATATTTTCGTACATCAAAGAAAAGGGTAAATGGGCGAGACAGGCAGTACTAGTAACTGGCTCATTGGTGACTTAGTACAAGTATAGCCATCTATACGTAAAAAAATCAAACAGGTAAACTTACAGTGAGCATAGCATGCACGCCATTCCCGTCGGCACTGGGTGAAGGACATTACTTTATAGACTAACTTATAATTTCGTGTGATATGACTATACGGACTTTCTGGTTGGATATGAACTAAACGAATCGCCCTGTTGATAAGGTCAGTAATATATACATTTTCACTATATTTGAAATTTAGATGTGTCATTTAATCATGATACGCAGTAAGAACCCCTTAAAAAGTAGACTTAATATACTATACAAGATTATGTGAGTACGTTTAGTACTCTTCAGCACTGTCTGGAGAGACTGGTTCAGATTCCTCAATTCTGTCTTCATCTACATCCAGTAGTGCTGAGCTGGTGCCACATTACTGTAGGTCTGGCCGTTGCATGTAGTGCCTAGTATGGAGGAATGGAGTCACTTGCAACCGCATGACAGGTCACACCCATCTGCTCTGCATGAGTTTAGCAGAGTGTCAGGGGCAATGGGCTGATCTCCGTCCCCATTCTGCTGGTTGCAAGGGCTTCCCCATCTACTGAAGCATTACGGAAGTTCTGGAGGAATGCTGCTTAGCTGTAGCGCTTCTTGGGGGCAATGCAGCCAGCTGAA